GGTATTTTTCTCTTAAGGTAGATATTAAGAATTTGGTAAATTTCTTAATTGTATGACTATTTCCATTATTGAGACGTTTTAAATATTTGATTTAAGAGGTTTTTTTTATAGGACTGGTTCACAGTGTGAACAGATTCCAGATTTATATATTTTTAAAGTGATATTTAATAAATGATTAAAAGAACCAATTTTAAAGTTGCCATAGTAAAGCCTTTAGGTCCAAAAATATACCCATTATGCTCACGTAAAAACAACTCTAAATCAGTAGGCTGTCACTCTATTAATGCACCACACCGCTTCCTCCACTGCACTAAAAGTTATACAATAAATTCTTCAATCCTAATTTTGTATCGTGATGGAGACCGGTGTCCATACAAAAATTTTACTAGGTTGCCGTTTGGTGTGAGCAATAGCGAACAGCACGAACACTCCTTTGCCCCGTCAACCTATATCTAATCTATTTAAAGAGTGACAACCATACTACACATTGAATTAGGATTCCTTTAAATATCAAATTGATTTATTGTAAACTTGTTTACTCTGTAATAAATGGCATAAAATTGAATTTTTGTTTAACTGAATTTTTGTTTAACTGAAATAATCAAACATAAATTTGTGTACATAATTTTATTGTGAAACAAATTTTTAGTGAAACAAATTTAAAATTTTATCCTTTATTTTACAATCATAATATAATAATATTTATAAGCCTCCGTTTTGAAACGGACTAAAGGTCGTGATAGTTATATGTAAAATTTATTTTTGTTTGTTTTAATTGATACTAAATAAAATTGTTGGTTTCTTGTAATTGTTGTTTTCTTGATCCGTCCTGATATGTTTTAGTAGATAAGCTTTTAGTGTAGTCGATAGCATTGCTTGTGGTAGTCCCAACGCCTCATGGAGGCAGTTCAGCTTCTGGATAACATTGAGCTTCGTGAGGTATGTCATGATGTAAAAGTTCAACCCCAGCTACAGAAGGTAAATGAGGGTGACTGCCTCAACCCCAAGACTATAACAGGTGACCAAGTTCGGCTTGATGTATCTGCTAGAGGAGTTTGGACTCCATTTGATAAGACCTTCTTGACATAAGGGTTTCACACCCCAATTGCTTATAATCAAACAGGACAAAAACTCTTCAAGAAGTATACGAGAGAACGAGAACGAGAAGAAGGACAAGTACTTGGAGAGAGTGTTGAATGTGGAGAAGGCTACCTTCACCCCGGCTGTATTCTTCACATCTGGAGGAATGTCTAAAGAGTGTAAGCAGTTCGTCAACAGAGTAACAGACCTCATTGCAAGAAAAAGGAAGGAAAGGTACTGTGATGTAGTAAGACATGTGAGAACAAGGATAAGATTTGCAATGTTGAGAACAACTCTTGTTGCTCTACGAGGGTACCAAGGAAAGAAGGTGGACACCAACGTGAGATTCAGCTATCAGAAGTCTCATACAAGCTCATCCCTGCCCCTATAATGGAGTAGATCATGTGTTTTGTTAAAAATTTTTTGAAAAAATTATTGGTAGCAATGAATTTTGCTCTGCCAATTGCAACACTAAAAATTTGATTGTGCTCTGCCAATTGCATCACTTGATTAAATTGAATGTATATATAATACTGTTTGACACACTTTCCGTAAAACCCTGATTTACTGTGGAATTTGGGGAAAAGAAACACAGCGGTAAATTGGGGTTTGCGGTAAATCAGGCGCAGTAAGTTCGACGCAGTACATTGATGAAAGGAGCAAACAATTATTTCCTCGCTACTCAAGCAGAAGCACAGAGACCAAGGTTATATCCTCAGTGTCCAAATTGTAATGTATTGGACACCAATTACCATAGAATCTTCTACTGTCCACTGTGCAGCTGCTCTTACAGGGAAACCCTGCAGGAGCACTCCTCTAATGACCAACCATGCTGGTCTATCTTAAGAGATGATAGTGATAACAGCATCACTGCCTTCCGCTCTCTAGCACAAATTTCCATTGGTGAACTATCATAAAGATTATTATTATAGTGCTCTCCCTACCCTTCTCCTTGTGACATTTCTTCTCCTTCAGCCTCTACCACTCACTCTACTGCCTCATCTTCTGGATGTCATTATCTTTAGTTTAGTTGAGGATTCTCAACACCCACTCTCAAGTTGAGTACTCTCGACCCACTTAGTCCACATACCTTGCAAACTTACAGCACTGGTTCCACTAGTCAATCGTAGGAGAAGAGAAAGCTTAATAACAAATTTGATGGCTGCATTTTGTTTGATTTATTAGGTCCTAGTATTTATCCCCATTGTTTTAAACTTTTAAGAGAACTCTCTTTAAATTATTTTAATGCAGTCACTCAGATAAGTTTTATACCTGGACACTTCAACAAAGACACATACTCTGCCCACAATAAGGGGCCATAATTGTCTCAATTATGTAACTGTATAGAATTATAATCATTATCAGCTTCTGTTTACAATTCTCTTGAAGATTGCGCAGAGCCCCTGGGCCCCCTTAAAAGGGATCGTACTCTCCGATCCTGGTAAGCCTGGAGGGACTTTTCAACTTTATTCAAATATGCCAAACTTAAAGTACTGAAACTATGTTGGTCGTCGGTATGTTGCCATTATCTGCATTCTGCTTTTAGTTTCCTTTACTCACATCACTGAGCATCTGCGATGGATAATTAGCACACAAGGACTAAACTGACCTTTAAAACATGACACCAACTATACCACGTAACCATAGCTCCGAAATAAATATATTGTACTACATACAAACATCTGGCCTGATCCTTTTCACATTGTGCGTCCCCAGGGGGTTCGGTGAAGCCCTTACAGGCAACTGTGTCCTTTTACCAGCCTCAATAAAATTGGTCATGCCCAGTACACAGTCATAAAACTGTAACCAACTATTTAAAAATTAGACATCTTTAGCTAAAATTTTAAATTTTAAAGTCATAGAGCAAGCTTCTTAATTTAAAACTTTCTTAAGGACTTATATTTTACCCTAACTATGACTGTGGTGGCCTTTCATACTCGTAACTAATTTCAAAATTTGAAAGTAAAAATAGATTATTAGTGACAACAATTATAGTTTAAACATTCCATTCTGCATTGTGTTCCATATTAGAAAGAATTTATGATATGTATTGATTGAAATTGGAAATAAATTTTAACTTTTGTTTTATTAAAAACTTTTGTTTTATTGACTATACTCTTTTTGATGATGCCTTATTTAGAAAAATGTTTCCCCACTCCTGTTATTTCGATGACTACACATGAGAGGACCAAATTGCAAACCATCTTGTATTGACAACATCCTCACAAATGACCCTGGTAACTGTGTTCTCTCAGGTTGTATAACAGATAGAATTGGTGAACATGCTCCACATTTGAATTCACTGACATCCGAATTCGTGGTTGGTCCAAAAAGTGAAAACATGTCCTGTACTACGACTTCAGCAATCAACCTTAATAAATTCCTAACCCTACTGAACACTGATACTCTCAAGCTCCACACTTCTCATGAATTCTGCGGATTTACTAAAATTATTTGTAGTACTTGATTCAAACATGCAAAAACTTGTAAAGCCATTAACTTAATAAACGGAATCCTATCAATATCCCCTGGATACAGATAGTATTTCATCAGCCGTTGAAAAACAAAACATGAATCTAAAGATAGCCTGGGATTAAATCTAAAAAACTAAGGCAAACCCTGATGGAAAACCAGGATTCGAGCAAACCTTCTAAGGTATAACGAAGGATCCTCAAATCTGTAATTATCACTGGCAAAAAATACTTACTCTTGCAACAAATCATAGAAAATAAGCACGAACCGTTAAGAAGACATGGCAACTATTAATGTACTCAGAGGGAGGTGTAAAAAGAGTATTCAAACCCCATATATAAATCGAAAACAGAAAAATCAACAGATAGAAGTGTTATTGCAAACGAGTTCAACAAATACTTTAACTCCCATTGCTCAATCTAATGAATCAATAGCTGACTGCCTATACAGGCTTCTGAATTTTCAACATTGAAGACTACCTCTGCCATCCAACAAACCAACTCTATATTTTCTAAAATGAACTGTTACTTATGAGCTCATGGAAATAATTTCCAAGTTGGAAAAATGGCAAATCTAGTGTTATCCCAATCCGTTGTGATCAAAAAGTCAGCTCATCTATCTGCCCTGTTATAGCCCAACATTTCAACCACTGATGATGGCGGGTATTTCCCGATGTATTGAAGTTGGGCAGTTACCTCCTATATCTAAGAAAGGAAACGAAGAGGTTGTAGGAAACTACAGACCTGTCTCTACTCTGCCCATACTTTGGTAAGTATTTGAAAGGTGATATACAGCCGTAATCTATAGTTTCGCTCTGTCACAAAATATCCTTGATGAAAACCAATTAGGCTTCCGCAAAGTCCATTCTACTAGCCATGCTGTTAACTACTCTGTTAGATTATTGAAGAGAGCATAAAAAAAGAAACCATGTTCTAGGATATTTATAGATTTGAGTTAAAGCATTTGTACAATCGACCATAGTACACTCCTAACAAAACTAGATAGGTTTGGATTAAGAGGCAATGCAAACTGTCTCATTAAAGCTACTTATCAAATTTGAACACGTAACAGAAGTACTCCAAGGTAAATTCCGAAAACCTCTTCATTAAATATGGAGTTCCACAAGGCTCTGTTCTTTGGAACGCTCCTTTTTCTTCTATACATAAATGATATTTCAATTCCTCGATTTGAATCTTTTCATACTATGTGCCGGACGACACCACATTTTTATTAATGGCAAAATGTAGAAGAAGCTTATGAGAAAAGCAACAAAATTGACAGATGTTTCGTGACGTAAAAGTTAGTTTTAGTTTTATTTTAAACCACTTCTTCTAAACCGTTGTTTCCGTTGGACCCAAAACTACAAGAGAAGAGCCCGTTAACATTGGCGACGAGGATTACGACCGACGTTGGGACATCTTGCTGCTGAAGGCTACAACAATTACGCCTTACTGCAGAATAAATGATGGAGAAAAGGTAACAACGGACAACTGAGATCCTGGTTCCAGATAAAAGGCCTTGCTAGGAGGTAACCCAGATAAAGTCCTTGCTGGGAGGTAACCCAGATAAAAGTCCTTGCTGGGAGGTAACCCAGATAAAGTCCTTGCTGGGAGGTAACCCAGATAAAAGTCCTTGCTGGGAGGTAACCCAGATAAAGTCCTTGCTGGGAGGTAACCCAGATAAAAGTCCTTGCTGGGAGGTAACCCAGATAAAGTCCTTGCTGGGAGGTAACCCAGATAAAGTCCTTGCTGGGAGGTAACCCAGATTTAGTCTTTACTGGGAGGTAACCCAGATATCAAGTCCTTGCTGGGAGGTAACCCAGATCTGATGTTTCCCCAAGATCCTGTAAACTTAAAATGGAACTCAATCCATGGTATCTATAGTGGCGTCAACCTACGATAGGAACATAGTGACAGAGGGGTGTGGAGAACGGATAAGCTGACTACAAACGGTTGATTACTCGGACAATCTAGTCCTACTTTAATCTACTGGATACAAACATAAGAGTTGAGATGAAAAGAGGTATATTTTTTAACCTTTTAATTTTTAAAGCCTATTTGAGAAGAAATAATAAAAATTTTTATCAAAATCAACACGAGAGCAGAAAATTTTGGAGATTTCAAAAAATTGTCAATCTTATTTTTTGCTACGAAATCATGAATAGATTCATCTAAAATTTTAACAAAATTTTATGATAAGTTTACGAGTTTCATAATGTTCAACATTTTAATGAAACAGTCTACTTAGTAAGTGAACAAAAACTAAGGTTATCACTTGAAAATTTTTCGTATAACATTGCCCAACCTCAAATCTTTGTCATTTTTTCAAGTATTATTATGCTATTTCAAGTTAATGATATGTTGATGCTTGACTTGGAGCTAAGTTAAAGTTAGTTCATATACTAACTAGAAACTAGAGTTGTTTAGCATTTTGAACTAGGAGTGTGATCGTTTGTTCCAGTGAAATACCAGTATGACACAGTAGGTTTAAGTGAAATACGCAGTAGGTGTCTGGTGTAAGTGAAATGAACAGTGAAATACACGGTAAATTTGAGTGAAATGCACAGTGAATTTAAAGTGAAGTGTATGTGAAATGTGCAGTAAAAATATCGGTAGGTGTTTCTCGAGTGACCGCATGCTGCGACGGTCTGATAATGAGTGATAAGGTCCAACAATTGAGTTGGCTTGTTACAGCTTTAAAAAGTTTATGAATAATAATAATATAGCCAGCTGTTAGTGTAAATCCCGAAAACGAATGGGTTTGAATTACTTGCGGGTCCTGCTATTTATGATAAAAACTTGCTATTGACTTGTAGCCTACTATAAGAGTATAAGTTTACCTATAATATTGGCCTTGTATAAAACATGACGGCTAGAACTGCTTCACATGGTAAAATCCATGGAAATTTGTAGTGTGTATTTCAAGTTGATATAACTCTTGAGACTATTAATACATTAACCTGACAATATTTTGTGCAATGACGATTGTATGAAATTAAATGACAGATAAGGATGCACTGACAGGGCACTGACTCTCTTTATGCACAAAGACTCAAGACTGAACCGACGACTTTAACTTTGAATTATTTTAGGGAAAGTTAGTAAGTTCGGCCGTTCATGGAATAGCGATATCGTATAATATATCATAATAGACAGAAAATTATTCAGTTGAGTAAGCCTTAGTTACTGATACTAGTATTTCAGTAAGAGCATTGAAGTATTAAATCGTACCATTCAAAGTAAGGAATTGCACTTACACGCTGGATGAATTTGAATGCATTTTAGGTCGTAGTAGTTCTCTTTTGAGAGTAATGTAATAATGTATGCGTCATAAATTAGACTGACGTTGATACGGTTTGATTTTAATGGAGGTTGACCTATTAGCAATGTTGAAATTGCTTTGTTTGAAGTTTATAGTATATGTACAGATCATGATCATGAATAATTGCTTTGTCCTTGGTTGCGAAGCTAACAGCCAAGACAAGCAGAACTTGGCGCTTTTGTTGTGAGAATTGTGTAACGGCGTGTGGTTGTTAAGTTGACAACCGAGAATATGCTTGCAAGCTATTGTGGAGAGTTTTTTTTTTGTTGCCGTCGAATGCCAAGTTTTGAGAACTTAAACTACTGACCGTGTAATAAATGCTAAGTGTGAGTGAGAGATGTTTTGTGAGAAAGTGTAAGAATAAGTATAAGTGAATTTCGGGCAAGTATTTTCCGAGTGGCACGGGACATTTTAATGCAATTTAATTTATGTCTGAATAAATTAGTCTGCCCATCTAGAAAGTAGAAACAGAAATCTTGTCTCAGTTTGTATGGTGAATCTTAGGGATAGGACAGAATTTAGTCCATTAGTACATTAGGACTAGCCGACTATGGTAAACTGCCAGTTGTATTTTATACAAAGTTGCAAAGTTATAATCATTATAACTGATCGCAGCTTGTGGTTGTTTAGTGATAAAGTGAACGACCTGAATTTAGGCTTAGGAGTTGCTGATGTTTTGTGTTGCGGTGTAATGCCAAGTTTTGAGAACTTCATACCTTTAAGTTTAGAGATTGAGAGTTTATTTTTAAATGTAACACCATAGAGTGTTGTAAGTTGTACCTCAGGAACGAGTGACTGTGCAAGTGAGTGTAAGTGTACCAGGATTAGAATACGTTATTGATATGATTCCGAGTTATCTATCAGAAATTAAGTTTTAAAAATTCATCGGAATATTTTCCTAATTCGAAATTAGGAATAGACGTGTAAACTCAATGTGAACGTAATTAAATGTAATATTAAGTTTAAGAGCAAGTTATAACCAATTTTTTCCTCTAGTATCATTCAGAATATTTTGTTAACCTTTAACTAAGAATATATTTTTGAAATAATGTAAAACTTATCGGTAGGTATTAACAGCAAGTTAGAGCAGAGCCGTTAAATCTGGAATTGCACTCGCAGGCCAAGGCCAAGGCTTCTGAGTAGTAAGGATTTATACAGTAGTGCATGCTCTACTTTACGACACGTTAGTCGTTAATACTGAACGTACAATTACAAAGAAGACATCATTATTTGATCGGTATAATTACCATTAAGCTTTTCAGGATTTTAATTATAATAATTCGTAATTATAATAATTTAATTATAATAAATCGTAAGCTTTAAGTGTAAAATAAATATATAAAGATAGTTATTAACTTACAATTTAAAAAGTTCTTAATAAGAACTTGCAGAAGCCCGTTGGTGGCTCCAAGTCCCACTCTGAGTCCCACTTCTTCGAATGTCTTGAATTACTTTATCAATCTCATGAGATGCTTTATTATCAAACAATACGTAATAAATCTTGTATGTTGAGTTTTAACTCAGTCTCTATACATATCCGCTCTGTGATATCTATTGTGCTCGTCTCTGAACACATATCTGCTTTATTGATAACAAGAATATCCCCAAAATTGGTAGTTATTGAAGACATCTTTGTCCCTCGCTGACATTTCTTCTTCTGTCCATTCTTAGCAGTTTCTTTTGGTTGTGTTCGTCCAGGAAAACACACGACTCATCTTTTCGAAACAGTGACGAGAGAACGTGCTTTTCTCTTCTATTTCTGCCCGGGAGGCAATACTAGTACAACTTACTTAATAAGGATAATTAAATTATAAATAATAATAATAATAATAAAGACTTTGTGATATACAATTGTTGCAGTTGTTAGTTTTCTCTTGTTTTCTTTCTCTTGCTCTGCAAGCCCTGTTTCTTGTTTAATACGGCATATAATTATCGTGTTTCGCATTGTAAAATGTAATAAACATTGGTAATAGAGTAAGATTATTGGAAATTCTTTTTGCTCGGTTTATAATATTTAATTGTATAATTTGTAATGGTTTCTCCCGCTTTTCTTCCTTGCACAACAAGCCCTGTCTCTTATAAATACAACTCCTGTAAATACAACCTTGAAAGATTTGTAGATACACATAGTTTCTACACCTTTATCCACTGGTCCCTAGGGTCAGCTGATCCCGGGCCAGAGGAAAACTACCGAATGCCGAGGTTTGACGCCTAGGCAGTAAAGATCTCTTATTAAGACCCTTTATAATACAAAGAATACGATATATGTTTAAAAAAATGCTGAGTTGTCAGTGGAACTCGAATTTGAAAATTAGTTGACTCGAAACAGTGTGAGCATGTTTGACTTTGTCGATTGTCTTGCGTGGTTAAACTAGATGCAACGTTCAACGTATGATTAGAAGGTGGCACAGGAGAACATATATATTGTTATTGAAATTTAAGTCATTTTTAAGCAAATAAGTAGTTATGTTGCGAATTATTTTGCATCATGTCAACTTCATTGTGTAACGAAGCTGGCTGTACATTTTGAAAATTTTGTGTTGGCCTAACTTGGTTAATCAAATTGTTTTTTCCACTGATGCCAAAAATTGGCATCGGCAAAAGCTGCCGATGAAAATAAAGCTAAAGCAGCCTGCCTAAATAATGAGATATAATATTGATCAGATTACCCGTTTAGTGGTAGCTGTACCTAAGAGAAAAATTTCAGAATCAAGATTAATTTTAGATTTAAATATGTACAGGTTCAAGGGTTAGCAAGTTGTGGTAATCAGAAGCCGTAAAACAGCAAAGTGATTACCACACGTGTTTTGTGCCGGCCATCCCTGGGCCTGCAGTTAGATTTCTATCGATGCATCAGTATCGATAGGAAACTAACGGCCAGTAGTACTGATAGTATCATGCTCTGATTTTTTATTGTTGAAATATGTGAAATTCTAATAACGCAAATTTCGTTTAACACTAAATAGCTTTAATCGCGAATGCAGTTATGATCAAAAGAAAACTAAGAAAATTAGAAAAAAAGATTTTATATAAGTATATACAAAAATAATAAAAAAATGTTAGCTAGACTGATATTATGTTAACTTACTCTCAGAATTAGTTCTTTGATTTAAATGATTGTTAATGTTTTGAGGAGGGAGGAGAATGATGGACAATTCATGGACAAAAAGAGACTGAGAGTAGAATTTTAGATGAGTTTTATTATTGTTGATATATTAATGTTGATATATTAATAGTTGATATATTTTTAAAATGGTTGACTGTACACATTTACCAATTTCCAGATTGTCAATAATAAAAGAAAGAAAAGTTCGAAAAGGAAGTACAGCCAATCATTTATGTTTACTAGAAACTTGAATTTAAAAATAATCTTTGATTATGAGCTCTAGAGATATGTTTTCATAAATAGAAAAAATGTGTTAAGACTTTTGTTGCATTGTAAAATGTTGTGAAGATTCATTTGATAATTTTATTCTTTAAGCACGAAACATCAAAAACATAAATAAAATTATCTTAAAAAAGGGAGGTATGTTAGGTAATAGGATTGCATAATTATGATTAAGATAATATTGAACAGGACACAGGTGTCTTGATCGTGACCTTTCTAGGACCATTAGGGTCAGTTCATTCAACCATGCATTTAAGTGAACGCTGTGCAAAATATACTGTAATTTTACCATTGGTTGACAACTAGGCGAGGTAGCCTTCCATTGGTTGTAAGTCATGTGACCTAGGTCACATGAGCATAGCAGGTGGACTAAAGCCTCATTTAACCTCGGTCAGCTCGAGCACTAAACATTAGTGTGACGTCAGAATAGTTATTAAGATCGGCACGGCAGGTAATATAAAATACAGATGTTTCGTGACGTAAAAGTTAGTTTTAGTTTTATTTTAAACCACTTCTTCTAAACCGTTGTTTCCGTTGGACCCAAAACTACAAGAGAAGAGCCCGTTAACAGTAGGATATTTGGTAATTTATAATTTAAATGGTAGAGTAAACTACACATTATATTATATTTTAAATTAACAGACCTGTTGGTCCACCTGTACAAGAGAAGAGTTAACAGCAGCATCACTAAACTCCCTGGGTCCCCCTCCGACACGGCCCTCTAAAACAGTTACACGCTGTTGGTACATTATCTCCCTGTGTTTGTAGTCGTCTAGATCAGCTTGTAAAGCTGCTAGTTTGGGCAGGTTTGACACTTTGTCTGCTAGAAGTTGGGTTTGTTGGTTCTGCTGCAACTGTCGTACTGACGCCTGAGGTGTGCAGTGTGTAAGTATGAGAAACTATTTAATGTTCCAATATATTGTACTACGTGTTATAAATGAGATCTCAGCCATACAAAGTCAATTCTACAGTTCAACATCTTCAAATCAATGTCATTACAAGCAAAATGTTAAATTATGATATTTAATGATCTATTTAAAGTGAATAATATTTATTATATCAGTTGGTAAAAAAGAATATTACGTATGTTTTACCTCTTTCTGTTCGAGTAATTGCTTCAGAGCAACGTTGTTGGACGCCAGATCTTTATTTTCTAGAAAGAGTCGCGTTATTTCGTCCTTCTGATGCTCTTTTAGACCTCTCATCTCCTCATAGACCTTAACATTCTCCGACTGGTACCCTGTAGCGGCATCACGTGAGATTGATGCACAATCACGTCATTCAAATACTAAACAATAATAAAAACCAAACCAAAGTACGTTTAAAAACTAGATAACTGACCACTAAGAAGGTTCTCCAGTTCAGCAACTTGTTTGTTAAGATGCTCCACTCTGGAGTCCGCATCTCCTCCACCTCCTCCACCACCCGCATTCCCGGCATTTTTCACCCGCGACTGCAGCACATACACGTCCTGCTTGTACTTGTGAAGCTCCTGCGAGTGTGCTGTCTTGAGGGTGCTGACACGCTCCTTGTGTGCACGCTGTGTCTCCTGCAGCTGCTCCTGAACCTGGCGCAACTCCTCCTGGGTGCGCCTATACAGCTCCTTCCACGCTTCCACATCTCTGAGGTGGGAACATCAGATACACAACAGTTTGGAAAATTCCAGTTTCATAAATTACTCTGATAATACGATAATTAAAGTTAGGGATTTAGACGTTTAGAAAAAAATACTGATTTTAGACTAGTAATATAGTAAATTTGGTTATAATACAACTAAGATACAACTAAGATACAACTAAGATACAACTAAGATACAACTAAGATACAACTAAGATACAACTAAGATACAACTAAGATACAACTAAGATAAAACTAAGATACAACTAAGATACAACTAAGATAAAACTAAGATACAACTAAGATAAAACTAAGATACAACTAAGATACAACTAAGATACAACTTAGATACAACTAAGATACAACTAATAGCAATTATTAGAATTACCCATCTGCTTGAATGACCTCCACAAGACTCTTGTCAGTTAACGCACATGTCCATGTGTTACCAAGGTTCTGTTTAGACAAGTTAACATTATTTTTCCCATCTGAAAAAAAAAAACAGTTATTAAAGAAACTGGATAACAATGAATGGTGTCTCCCATTAATCTGATTATTCAAGGCGTTATTTTCTACTAAACACTGAACTTTTCTAAGTTTTCATCAATTTAGTTTAGAGTCGTTTACAATAAAAGATGTTTTAATTTTTTCTTTGCCTTATGATGAGTTACACTTTTGTTCACTTTTACACATTTGCTCACATCACTCACAGTCAGCCGCTCTGGCATGGTTAATCACCTTCCTTGTGTTGCTGGCTAATCATAAATACCTAATTTCATTTCATTTTTTCATACTTACCATTTTGATGAGAAGGTTTAGGTTTACCCCTAATGTAAGCTGCAACGGGGGACTGTGCCACTATTTTAGATTTAGCCGAGGAAGTCCTAACAGGAACTTTACTTTTTGAGGGTCCTGGCGAAAAGCTATGTTTAAAAATATAAACCGTCTGTCAAAAATAAAGAGTTTTAAAAACGTTATAAAATTTAAAATAATTAAAAGCGAAAATTCAAAATGCGAAAACCTGAATCCTTCGTTGTGATAGTTGGTTTCTTGATGCTGCTCGTAAACTTTTTAGTGTCCTGACCTTTCTTCTTAGGGGCAGGAGTTTTTGGTTTGACAAACTCAGAATCAGGAGTTTTATCTGACCTGGAATCTGATGCTCTACTGCTCTCTATACTGGACCTACAAAAACTGGTGATACTTCCTTGCTAAGACAAAAGTTAACTACACCGTGCCATTTAATAGGGTTACTAATATTGTACCAATATACTCACCTCGACCTGGAGGTTCATATCCAGAAGGCAAATGGCGCCTTTCATCAGCTCTGGAACATTTGGAATAGCAGAACTATAAAGACTCCAACCAAGATCAGGATCTATAAGGCTGCTGCCCTCACCATCTTGTTGTATGGAGCTGAAGTCTGGAACACCACCAACGCGATGTGTGTGATGCAGGCCACTCCAACGACTAGGAAGAGACCTTACCATGTAACATGTATGTAACATACTCAACTTCAAATGAACATGTCCATAAATAAACTACTGTAATCTTCGAGTGCTCAGAATATTTGGCTAAAGCAGATTTAGGACGTACTACCATAACTTAGTCCTACTAAACAAAGTAATAGCGGAGAAGTATTTTTAAAGCACCATGAAGCAATTCTTATCCTTCATTGCTTTTTGGCAGTCCCACTAGAGGCTTTATCTGCATCTGATTGTCAACCACAAGTCCATTCTCAAGATGGTCGGTTCCTGATTTCAAAGTCAGACTATGCAAAATAACTTTGTTGAAGGTGTCAGTTAATTATCACGGATTGGGGACGATATTACTCCTCCCTGCGTTAATACAGCTATTTAACATAACTGTAGTTGGACAGAGTACTGGCAATTGTGAGAGTATAACGAGAGGATGGGAGCTGCTTCTTCTAGCGTTGGGCGCCGGAGCTGCGGGTGTGGGAAAACTTTCGGTGATCTCCTTCATGAACAGAATGAGATACAGACTAGTGTTCACAGTGATAGCAGAGACTTTACTCCTTAGTTGCGCAGCCATACTTTACTGGCCAGTAAATTCGATAATCATAGTTACAATGAGCGTTGTTGTTAAGTTTACGTATGGTATTATGCAAATGGCCACAACGTATGTAATGTATGACCTGAGATACTTCGGCTCAAGAATTTTAGCCCTTGGGACTGGAATTGCATCTGGAATCTCAATAATCGTTGGCGCATCAGGCACTGCACTGCAATAGGGTCTTTTGCACCACCATGGATAGCAGTGCTTAGTGCTTTGGTGGTGAGTGTTTTGGAGATATTTGTTGTCTTATCCATGTATGAGATGGATGATCTGCAAAACAACTGCTACTTAGTACTTAAGTACTGGGCTTGATCAGACAACTCGGACACTGGCGAACATTATCATAGTGGACTTAAACAGATATAATAGCAATATTAGCGAAATTTAATACTGATAATTAATATATATTTATAACTAGGTTACTGTATTAGTGAAATATATTTTTCTAACCTTATCTCTTGACTCTTTTGGGCAGCTTTCGCTTTTATTTTTGCCAGATAATAAGCCATATCTTTCTCCTGGGAATAATCAGGATTTGTAGTTGAAATAGTTTCATGTGACTGGGAAGGTTTCCCCTTTGTCTCCCCTTGTGTGTCCACTTCATTGTTATCCTTGAAGTGAGGATCTCTTTTGCTCAGTACTGGACTTAAGTCAAAACCAGTAGTGCGGTCCTGGAACCTGTCCTGAAATTACCATGATTTGTTATTAATAATAATATAGCATTTATTTGTCATAATTACGACATAGGGCTTTGACTCAAATTGAACTGATTAATAAAATAAAGCATGAAAGATTAAAATTTTAACCATATCGATGGGCGTCGATTCGAACGGGTTTAAAGTTGTTTTCATGGGAGAGTAAGCAGTTTTCGAAGGGGATTCTGCAGGTGCAAGTCGCATTTCATCCGGACGATTAAACTTGTCGTTGTCTGAAACATCCTCATAACTTTCAAACTGGTCACTCGAGTAGTCACGTTCTGAAAAAATGTTACTAGCTCAATTGTATCCAGAAAATAGTGTTGTAAATGTTGCAAAGTTATGGTACACCATAGTGCCGTGTCTGAAGCACTCTAAACAACCAGACTACAGCTGAATGAAGTGAGAAAAATGTATGTAAAACATTTGTAAAATCTATTTTGTCTGAACCAAAACACAGCGGTTAAACCATTATGACATTGGTGCCGACAAACCTGGAGCCAACTCTAAAAACTCACCGGAGGTTTTAACATCCTGAAGAATCTTATCGACTTCTTCTTCCACCTCGGACACCTTAACTTCACTAGGAGTCTCCTCGCTAGGGGTCTCCTCTTCTCTTATCACTGGAGACTCGTTCTTCTCAAAATCTTCCTCCAGGGGCATGTCTGCTATTGATGCTCCGGTGGCCATCAAGGTGTTGTCTTTAGGAAGACTACTCTCCATGAATGACACTGAGAAATATGTATTGATAGTTTGAGTTTAAGTTTGGGCAAATACCCTTCAAGGCAACTTTACAATTTGGCTAAAATCTGGCCAAGGCTCAAAAAATAGTTAATTTTACGTCAAAAACAACAAGCTACTTTTAACTCTGCTTCCCAACCATTAGTTAAAGAATTAAAAAAGGAGGTTTTTGGGTACCGGGCCATCCTGGTTACCTTGCTATGGGCTGTTCCCCTGGCTTATGCAGGTCTAGTTTACCCATATTATATATAAAAAAGGAGCACATAAACGACATTTTTCTTGCTTGATAAAATATTTGTCCATTTTTATATTTCTCTTGTCAAATTCTAAAGCTTAATGTAGTAATATCACTGAGCACTCACCTTTATCCAGAAGGTTGGACTCTTTCATGACAGAACTCGGGATAGCAAGAGATTCACTGAGATATTCATTGCAATTCATGAAATGAATTAACTATTTGCAGTATTGTAATATTTGACAAGAACAGTTTCTAGAAAGTAAAAATAATCACTGTTGTAGGTACTAGCAATTAAATGCATGAATTAAATAGCTTGACAATTTTGATAGCGTAATATTCTAAAACAATTACCACAGAAATATTCAAACTCACTTTGGTGGTAGTTCAGCAGAGAGGCCTCTTTGAAAATTGACAATTTGATCCTCAACTTGCTTTTCAATGATATTCTTATCTCCAGAAATGTTGATGTCTGTACTTATATGCAATGATTTCATTCCTGCCATTAATTTTAAGGCCTCTGTATTCAGAGAGTCAGATTCTTGATGAACAGTCAGTTCATCTGAACTCTCTGAATCAGGATTGGAAGAGACCGGGTAATCTTCTGGATTCGGTAGAGGTGTGTCAACATGTGGTAAAGGAGTGTCTGAGTGTATCTGCTCCTCGTGGGACATGGACTCTTCAGTTTCTGACATTACTTCTGCAATCGGATTGCGAGGTTGAAACTTTCCATCAAAAGACTTATTCAAAAATGGCATAGGGGAGGCAGGACTTAGCATGCTTGTACTGCTACCAAGATCGGTTGTGATCTCGATATCAGTTGTTTTATTTCCGGCATCTTCGTCAACAGATTCACTAGCCTCAAGGAATTGATCAACATCATCGAATGAACTGAGAAAGCTTTTCCGGTTATCTTTACTGCCATGGTTAACATCATCAGCCATCCTATTTCTGAAAATTATGAAATTTAGTGATTTATAAAAATTATGTTATTTTTTACATCAAATTCGAACCATGGCCATGGCCATGGTTTGAGGTAAAACATGAAAACTTAATAGCAAATGTTACTAACAGTAATTTAAGCCTTACAAGCAAAAAATCCCTGGCAGTCAGTGGCGTAACGAACGGCCCCGCTGACCCTGCTGTGCGGGGGGCGCCATCTTAGGGGGCGCAAAATCGTCGTTTGAAGGTGGGACAATTTTGAAAAACTCAACTGAGGTACTAGCAAATCTGCGCGGTTTGCTCTAAAAACACACTTTTTTAGAGATTTTACCGGCGTATCCTCTAAAATCACCCAATTTGTTCAATTTTAGGGAAGGGTGCCAAAAGGGGAAGAGGCGCCAACAGGGGGCGCATTTTCGGGCGGCGGGGGGGGGGGGGGGGGGGGGGGGGGGGGCGCCAACAGGCAACATTACGCCACTGCTGGCAGCAGGTTATAAAACAGAGGACTGATTATTTTGTTAATGATAAGTTAACCTAAACAACCATTACTAATTACTGGTACCAAATGATAAACCACTTCTAATAACAAATTATTAAAGGAATCTGTTGATCATACTCACTGTACAATAGTGAACGATATAAAAGTTCGCATGATTCAAATTCAGGCATAAAAATTACTCTAGGGATAAATAGAAGTAGAGATAATGCATAATCTTACTCCATCTATTATGCACCGTGAAGTCACTGTATGTATGTATATATTTGTTCGCATTCAACCTTAAAGAGGAAGCTACATTGAGGGTTCATAAACTTCATACAACTTTATGGAGGTTGGGCGGTTTGACAGATTTTGAAAATTTCTATCTTAATAGTAAGGTATGGTGCAAACTATTTTGTCTCCGAACTTATCAACAAGTAAGATTGCTTTTGTGGCTTCGTCTTCAAAGTGCTTCCGGGCTGCATGAATTACTGTTTCCACACCTCTTTAAAGGCCACCACACAGTTGTACAGGGTGCTGTGTTCTTGATAATGTCCTGATTCAACGTGGTCATTGGAAAGTTATAGGCAAAAAACTGTTTTGGTCACGTGGCAGGCTAGCTCCACAGGAGGACCAAAGTGCAAAGAAACTGCTACTAACTGCTGCTAACTGCTGCTAACTGCTACTAACTGCTGCTAACTGCTACTAACTGCTGCTAACTGCTGCTGACTGCTGCTAACTGCTGCTGTCGCGCGCAATTTGCAGCAGTTAGCAGTAGTTAGCAGCAGTCAGCAGTGCAGCAGTAAGCAGCAGTTAGTAGCAGTTAGCAGCAGTTAGCAGCAGTCAGTAGCAGTCAGCAGCAGTTAGCAGCAGTTAGCAGCAGTTAGCAGCAGTCAGCAGCAGTTAGCAGCAGTTTCTTTGCACTTTGGTCCTCCTGTGGCTCTAGTTAAACACAAATTCTTCACCTAACCATGTGCTTTCGCGCCACTGCGGGCGGGCGGATGCGATACTGTATACTGCAAGCGCAAGGGCTCTGGATAGAGCAACTGCAACACAAATTCGATTGTTTAGGGCTCGGGTTAGGGTTGTGGTTAGGGTTATATAGCATAGATAGCTTCAGGGTTGTGGTTATATTAAGCAGGATTAGGGATTATGTAAAACCGTTTTATTCAGCTGCAAAACCAAAAAGACCAAAGTCATTTGATAATTTTTGGGAGAGCAAACTATTAAAAGCCCTTTTCACCAATCACGCTGTAACCCCTTTTTCGCGCGCGGCAGCCTTTGGCTGAAAATACTTGTTTCCTATCCGGCTGGCCGGAGTGAACTGTAAACGCTTCGCGTGCACGAGACCCAGCAGACCTTACTGGCTGGCGATTTTATTACTACAGGTGATCACATCTACACAGCTTGTTGAACTCCGCGCGCGCTGATCATTATTTCATTGCATTTAATTTGCAATTAATAATTTGCACGCTTCAAACATTCCAAGAATGCAATTGCACCACGTAATATGATTTAGCCAATCAGAGAACAAGAATCCGCAAAGTTAAAGCTGCGCACTTTTATATTATAAGGTCCAAAATAAGACTTTTCGCGATAATTCAAAATCTACGTTGTCTTGAATTTTCCTCCTGGGGAGGAAACGCTATTTTTACAAAGTGAACATTTTGTTGAAAACCAGACGTTTCTATCTCTTTTATTTGCGAAGTTAGGCACCTACCAGTAAGGTTCAGGGAATCAGGGAGTCATACAAAGTGAATGTAGCAACTTGGAGGACTTCGCCGCTTCGACGCGAACTAGCATTCTTGCTTCGCATCTCGATGGGTTGACATCCTCAATCAAGTAGCAACAGTCACCTAACCATGACCATATGCTTTCGCGCTTGTTTCACAAGCGCCACAGCATAGCAATGACATGGCTTTGGTTACTGGTTAGTATATATGATATATAGAGCAAACGTGAATTTTTCCTCTACTTCAAAAAGAATAATATTGAAGCAAATAATCTTAAATTGAACGATTTCCCAATTCCCATTAAATTTTTGCGTCGTCGACACACGTCGAATGAGTGTCGTTCACTATATTATATTATAAAATATTCAAACAATATACACATAATATAGCAATGACCCTATATAAAATTCTGTAAAAATGGTACAAATTTAGAAACTGAGGTAAAAATAAAAATAAAACCCTTTGTAATAATATATATAAAAACCACTAAATCACATCATATCACAACAAAAAGTAGTTTAGACCCCCATCCAACTAGAGCACTCCATGACCTTTTAGTATAGGGTTTAAGAGTGTTGATCAGGTTAAGGGGGCAGGGGGGGGGTCTTCATGGAAATTTTCATTTTTTGAGCAATCACCCTGAAACTTTCAGGATATGTTCTAGGGATCATTTAGAAGAGATGAGCCGGGCAGAATTTTGAGATAGGCCTTTAAAACATTTTTATTCAATTTTGAAAATCGTGGACCTCGTTTTTTGATGATTTTTCGAGGTCCACGATTTTCAAAATCGAATAAAAATGTTTTAAAAGCCTATCTCAAAATTCTGCCCGGCTCATCTCTTCTAAATGATCCCTAGAACATATTCTGAAAGTTTCAGGGTGATTGCTCAAAAAATGTAGGAGAAGATAGATTTTTAGACTCGATTTTCAGGGCACGAGATCAAAAATCGCTCGCGCAATACAATAACACACACGCGCTGACCTTTGACCGGCAATAATTTCGGCTAGGAACGATATTTTTGCACGGGATCAAAAGCATCTGACAGATATTACTCCCCTCTATCAGAAACAACTAAAAAATCGATTTTGAGAAAATTTCCATGAAGACCCCCCCCTGCCCCCTTAAGGTCCAAATCACTTATTGCCGTGGGTGGAAGGGTTCTGGTACCTCTGTACCCCCTGATAGAGATTATACAGGTTCTGAGTAGATCAAAACGCAGTCTGCAACTGACAAATGACATCACATCACAATACCGTTGGCCTTTCTTTAGGCTGATCTTTTCAGCGAGATGTTTTAGAAACTGTGAAGCCTCAGTTGCCATTCCTCCTGTAGTACTGAACACCAGTGGCGTGAAGGTAGCCTTTTCAACATTGAGGACTCTGTCATTGTACTCACGTTTTTTGCTTTTCTCGTGAGATTGGTACATCTGTGAGATGCTCTTGTCACTGTTGGACTGGGCTTGAGGGTGAAGTACCCTTACATCTGTGAATGCCCTGTCCAGCGGCGACCAAAACGATCTCGCACTGATGTCCAGTCTTGCACCATCCTGTCTATTTGTTCCATTAGATAGTTCAAGTGTGTGAGGAACGGAGAGAAGCTGGGGTTCTGTTTCAACGTCTTTGCAAACAGTGGTTAGGAGTTCAGCTATTGTATCTCTTAGTGAATTGTGTCTAAGTGAAACGTAGCCTCCGATTTTGCAGGTTAGAGTATGGTTGATATGATTTTGATTTCCACATACACATAGGGAACTTCTGTTAGCTGTAGACAGTGTAAGATTATATCTGAGTGAGAGGGCATCAAAGAATTCTTGTTTGTTAAGGACGTACCCACATGCTTTTAGAGGGAGTGTGGATAACCAAATGGATGCTCACTTGTATTATTTTAACGGGTGATACTCGTAAAATATTTGTTCCAAATATTAGGACCGTCGACGAGTCCAACTCGGCGCGCGTCCTAATAGGTTATAAACCTACAAGCTAAGAACTCCAAATTTTGTGCACACATTTGGCTTGATAATTTAAAATAATTTAAAACCTTTCCCAAAGTTTCAAGTTCATTGTTCAAAATTTGGCTGAGTTATGACCATTTCAAAATTCATCGGAAACGTGATCCGAGCACTCAGTCAGTGATCTCTGCACTCAATCAGTGATCTCGTCACCCAATCTGATTAAGAGTAAGGCGTTAGCTGTATTAATGATTAATGAGGTTCATTAGGCTTTACCAAACATACTGAGGAGATGACGACCTGATCATTTGATTGGATACCGATAATGACTTTGCTAGACAGGAAAACACCAAATTCTTCGTAAAAGTTAGGTCCTATGATTCCACGAGAACTGATATGATGGCGCACCAGATCGTGACCTTTTCAGGAAAATCAGGAATCACGGTCTAAAAGTTGGTGTTTCTTTGTGATCCGATAGGCCCGGATAGAAAGATTTCGCTTTAGGATTCGTTGAAGGGATGTTCTGCTGAGGTCTAAGGCAGGAGCTCGTTTTCTGATGTTTTCATTTAACAGGTGATACTTGTAAAATATCTGTTTTTGACGGCCCCAACGTTAATGTGGCTCTTGCTATGTGTTGGTTCAGCCGAATTAATTATTATATAATCAAGTTTATTTTCCTCGTTAGTTGTCATCCGGCCAAACATTAAGCAACTTATATTGCAGTACCATTTATCATTTAGTATATCAAAATATGTCATTGTAATTTTGCATGGCTGAAATGTAACGCTTGATTTATATATATAATGATTAATTGAATTTTCAAATTATAAAAAAAATATATTGACCGTCGACGAGTCCAACTCGGCGCGCGTCCTGGTAGGTTGTAAACCATAAACCTACGATGTTTTCTTTGGTCCTCGCAGTTCGTCTTCTGCCGACTCTTCGCCGATTGTTTGCAGAAAAAGTGAACTTGATCTTGTGATGCATATCAAAGCAGCTTTTCCGGCAAGGGGATGGTCGGTTGAATTTCATTTAAAATTGTCGTTTAAGCTGAGGACAGACCTACCCATTTTCTTTCTTCAGGTAGACAAATTGTAGCGCAATGCACTGCACTACTGGGTCGCGTCGCGCATCAAATAATTCGTTTCGCAACCACGAGAAGATCGGCGAGATGCACCACTGTGCCTCACCGAGCTGCGAAGGATTGACATCGTGAATCAAGTAGACAAACATTGTCATACGTTGTATGACCCGCCGCGCACGAAGTGCGCGGCTCCCCCTGTATCGTCGAAGAAGCGACAGTGGGGGTCACCACGTGATACAAAACAAACAATCGTTGTACCGCAGTATAGGGAGGATAGTGAACCATTTTCGATGATTCAATGGATAGTTCATTCCTTTTAATCGATTGTAAGGAACGAACCTGTGACTAGCAGGGCTAACAAGCCCTGCAACCAATCAAGCGGTGCATGTGAGCTAAACAGGCCATTATATTAACCAAGTGCAGAGATCACTGATACTGAGTGCTCGGATCACGTTTCCGATGAATTTTGAAATGGTCATAACTCAGCCTTGATTCACGATGTCAATCCTTCGCAGCTCGGTGAGGCACATTGGTGCATCTTGCCGATCTACCGAAGTGGTTGCGAGAAGCATTATTGGATGCGCGCGCTACAAAACTCAGCCAAACAAAAACCCAGCCAAATTTTGAACAATGAACTTGAAACTTTGGGAAAGGTTTTAAATTATCAAGCCAAATGTGTGCAAAAAAATTGGAGTTCTTAGCTTAAAGCGTTCTCATTTTATGAAGACAATAGTGAAAAAGAGGGAGTGTCACGCCCACTGTAATTGGGTGTGGCTTACGAAACTTTCAGGAAATCTAAGTTTGACCCATATCTATAATCTCTGAAATTTTGGTGCAATTTGAAGACGAATTACGTGAGTTATTAAAAGGTTGCGTGTGGGTAGTCACTTTTGGGCCACCCTGTATATAATAATAAGCAATTATTTGGGGATTTTTACAGACGTATGAAAAATAATAACGCGCGCGCGTGTCATAATCATTAGCTAGCTAGCTAGGTTATGAGATGGTGCGTGCGCGGCGCCAAGTCCATATTTGCATATTATAAAATTGATTGGAGTTCGCGCTCAGTACATAAATAGATCATTGGCTGACATATAGGAAAACGGACCACAGGACTTCATAGTTCATCAATTGGGATGTTGTAAATACATTCATCAAAGCTTTGGATACCCAGGGGCTCTTTTAGCTCATTTTGCCAAGCATAGCTATTGCACATGCTGATCAAACAGAATATACTGGCATACAGTATTACGGTCTCAACTTCATCTGAAATATCATGTAATTTTGACGGATTTCAAAACTTGGAGAACTCGCCAACAGGAGCTGCTCTTTGATTCCATGATAAAATTTATTTTAGTTTTCAACAAAAATCCACGCAATCTGTTCAACAGGAATCAAGCAAACATTTGTATTTGTCAGTTTTCGCTCTTTAGTCTTTTCAGTGGGTCGTCCATGATTTATCTACAGTGGACGAAATCAGTCTCCACTCAGTTAAAAACTAGAGTCGAGACTCTCATTTTGTCATCCGTTGATATAAAAAGAAGTCATTAGTCAAGTATATGGGCTCTCGAAAAGCTGAAGCATTAAAATATTATATGATGGATCTTACAAAAACGGTTCGTTCATTTGGCAAACTTACAAGAGAATATCCAAGAAAGACACAAGAATTATAGCAACTTTCATTTTGAACTATGATTAAATTTAAAAGACATACTTAATCAAATAATCAACCAAAATTAATGAAATCAAATCCTATAAATTCGTTTCGTGATAGTTTTACAAGAAGATGCAATGGGTCGAGTGGAAAATACAAAAAAATCGTGAAAAAATTTGACTGTTTAGCATTAAATAAAGCTAGATGTAGAATACTAAATAAATAACATAAGCGTAGTAAAATAAGAGTTTTATCCAAACAGAAACAATCTAAAGGAACTAAAACTAGTCCTAAACTTTGGTAACAGCTCCATGACCATCGTCTCCATCATTGTCAGATGATATCAGGGCCTCGCTCTCGCCAGGGAAGTCGTGATCTGATTCCGCATCTGATTCTTTGTCGGACTCCACAATACGCTTTATGGACCTATCTGACCGTCTTCTCGGTGACGACCTGCCAGAGCTCTCTGACACTCTATTCAGGGGCCGGAACATTGGAGGTGTCGGTTTGTCTCTCTGTTCTTCGTTGGTTATTGCAGTCGCCTGAGGTGATGACGATATTAGTTATTTTTATCTTTTATATCAAACAAAGCTATGACAGAGAGTCCAGATGAACAATGTTATTGAATAATTTTATTTGCTTCAAAAGGAAGGGAAAAAAACCATAACTTCGTAAAATTTATGCTAATTGGTGGTGAAATAACAAACCACCGCTTGTAACAAGTGAGAGTCCCAGATGCTGAGCGAGATATTATATGATAATAAGTTACACTTTGAATGACAGATAAGATCAGAACATTGAAAATCAAATTTCACGTTATTAGACAAAATCAAGACAGTGTTAAAGGTGTTATTAATTTTATGATCGTATCCTTTGAGTCCCTCAAGATTTAATGCAAAAGTCGATCAAAAGTCGGTTTTGCATGCACTCAATTGGTCTACAGAGTACAGACCACAATATGATCTGTAAACCATCACATGCCTCTAACATTTAAAAAGAAAACACACATAAATCAACGAATCAATGAATAAAATTGTTACACCTGCTTAACTGTGTGTTAGGCTCAGAGAGATAGTTGAAAGAAGGAGATTTTATGTTAAAGATTGAGTTTTATGAAGTGCTTTTTGTTAAAAACAGCTGCTTTTTTAACGAGGAATGCTCAAAGAAAGATGATTTTTATGGAACATCGAGAAAATTTTGTAAGAAATGCTTTAAAGCCTTTTTAAAGAGGTTAAGGTAAGGTTTTTTTTTTACAAATGTCTCAGACCCATAGCTAGATCTGTGAATTTTAGGCAGACCCACTCGACAGCGGCCAAATTTTGCGCATTATGAGCCCCAAGCCCGATACCCACTTTGCCTCCCAATTATATTATCATCTCGTAACTTCATAATGAAGGTTCCGTTATTCATTTAAAGATTAAGTTTTTTCGATTCTGGGCACGTAGCCCGACACGACACGTAGCCGGGGCGAAGCTCCTTTGGTTGGCTAGGGAGGGGGGATTGGGGAAGGCGCAGCCCCCAGAAAATTTTTCAGAAATTATGTGTTTTAGACGACATTTGGCATTAAAGAAATTTGTAGGACAGTAATAATCAGACATTACAATAATACAAAATTGGGGGGCTAGGGGGGCGCAGCCCTGGCCTTCGGAAAATTTTTGAGAAATAGGGTGATTCAGACGACATTTGGCATTAAAGAAATTTGTAGGACAGCAATAATCATACATCAGAATAATATAAAGTTGGTGGGCTAGGGGAGCGAACCCCCAGGAAAATTTTTGAGAATTAGGGTGATTAAAACGGCATTTGGCATTAAAGAAATTTGGGGACAGTAATAATCAAACATCACAATAATATAAAGTTGGGGGGCCGGGGGGCCGGGGGCGCAGCCCCCCATAAAATTTTTGAGAAATAATGTGTTTTAGACGACATTTGGCATTAAAGAAATTTGTAGGACAGTAATAATCAGACATCACAATAATACAAAGTTGGGAGGCTAGGGGGGGGGGGGGGGGCGCACCCCCCGGAAAATTTTTGAGAAATAGGGTGATTCAGACGACATTAGGCATTAAAGAAATTTGTAGGACAGTAATAATCAGACATCACAATAATACAAAGTTGGGAGGCTAGGGGGGCGCACCCACCGGAAAGTTTTTGAGAAATAGGGTGATTCAGACGACATTAGGCATTAAAGAAATTAGTAGGGCAGTAATAATCAGACATCACAATAATATAAAGTTGGTTGGCTAGGGAGGGGGGGGGGGCAGCCAATCAGAAATTTTTTGAGAAATTATGTGTTTTAGACGACATTTGGCATTAAAGAAATTTGTAGGACAGTAATTATAATCAGACATCACAATAATACAAAGTTGGAGGGCTAGGCAGGCGCAGCCCTGGCCTTCGGAAAATTTTTGAGAAATAGGGTGTTTCAGACGACATTTGGCATTAGAAATTTGTAATTTCAGACATCACAATAATACAAAGTTGGGGGCTAGGGGGGAACTCAGTACTTGTCACATTGAATGGAATAAGTACATATTGTATAGTGGGATTTGGGAATAATTTACGAAATGCTAAAGTTGATTGCCTGTCGTGTCGTTTAAGGGGGCAGGGGGGGGTCTTCATGGAAATTTTCTCAAAATCGACTTTTTAGTTGTTTCTGATAGATGGGAGTGATATCTATAAGATGCTTTTAATCCGATAGAAAAATATTGCTCCTAGCAGAAATTATCGCCGGTAGAAGGTCAGCGCTTGTGTGTAATTGTATTGCGCGAGCGATTTTTGATCGCGTGCCCTGAAAATCGAGTCTAAAAATCTATCTCCTCCTACATTTTTTGAGCAATCACCCTCAAACTTTCAGAATATGTTCTAGGGATCATTTAGAAGAGATTGTCCGGGCAAAATTTTGAGATAGGCCTTTAAACATTTTTTATTCGATTTTGAAAATCTTGGACCTGGTTTTTTGACGATTTTTCGAGGTCCAAGATTTTTAAAATTAAATAAAAAATGTTTAAAGGCCTATCTCAAAATTTTGCCCGGACAATCTCTTCTAAATGATCCCTAGAACATATCCTGAAAGTTAGAAGGTGATTGCTCAAAAATTGTAGGAGGAGATAGATTTTTAGACTCGATTTTCAGGGCACGCGATCAAAAATCGCTCGCGCAATACAATTACACACATGCGCTGACCTTTTACCGGCGATAATTTCGGCTAGGAACAATATTTTTCTATCGGATTAAAAGCATCTGATAGATATCACTCCCCTCTATCAGAAACAACTAAAAAGTCGATTTTGAGAAAATTTCCATGAAGACCCCCCCCTGCCCCCTTAATCAAACAGTCATAACCACAGCCCACTTACCAGGCGACCATGGGGACTAGGGGGCTTATTTGGGGTTCAATTTTATTCCGGGGGTCTTCCCCTTGGCTACGTGTCTGCATTCTAGTTGCCAGACCCACTCTATTAGAGTGCAGACTCAACATTTTGGTTGCCAGACCCACTATTCTAGAGTCCAGACCCACAATTCTGGTTGTCATATCTCCTATATTCTAGTTCATAGACCCCCAATTCTGGTTGACAGAGTGAAGAATTACCATTCTGGTTGCCAGATTCACTCTTCTAGAGAGGAGACCCACTCTTCTAGTAGGTATAGAGTCAAGACCCACTATTCTAAAATGCAGACCCACCATTCTGGTTGCCAGACCCACTCTTCTAAGGCGAAGACCTACCATTCTGGTTGCCAGCCCCACTCTTCTAGAGTGTAGACGCACCATTCCGATTGCCAGACCCACTATTCTTGAGTGAAGACCCACCTTTCGGGTTGCCGGACCCACTATTCTAGACTCTAGACTCCAGACGCACAATTCTGGTTGCCATATATCCTATATTCTAGTTTAGACCCCCAATTCTGGTTGACACTTGACAGAGTGTAGACTTACCATTCTTGTTGCCAGACCCACTCTTAGCTAGAGTGAAGACCCACTATTCAAGAATTCTGACCCACCATTCTTGTTTCCAGACCCACTCATCTTCATTCCCTTGATTGCAGACCCACTATTCTGGTTGCCAGACCCACTCTTATAGATTGCAGACACACCATTCTAGTTGCCAGACCCACTCTTCTAAAGTGTAGACCCACCAGACCTATTATTCTAGAGTGAAGACCCACCATTCGGGTTGTCCAAACCCACAATTCTGGTAGCCATATCTCCTATATTCTAGTTTATAGACCCCCAAATCTGGTTGACAGAGTGTAGACTTACCATTCTGGTTGCCAGGCCCACTCTTCTAGAGTGAAGATCCACTATTCTAGAATGCAGACCCGCAATTCTGGTTGCCAGACCCACTATTCCAGATTGTAGACCCACCTTTCTGGTTTCCAGACTCACCCTTCTAGAGCGAAAATCCACCATTCTGGTTGCCAGACCCACTCTTCTAGAGTGTAGACGTACCATTCTGATTGCCAGACCCACTCTTCAAGGGTGCAGACCCACATTCATGTTGCAAGACCCACCTCTAGATTTCAGACCCACTATTCTAGCTGCCAGACTCACTTATAGATTGCAGACCCACCATTCCAGCTGACAGACCCACTCTTCTCAAGTGCAGACCCACCATTCTGGTTGCCAGACCAACTTCTAGATTGCAGACCCACCATTCCAGCTGCCAGACCCACACTTCTCAAGTGCAGATCTACCACTCTGGTTGTCAGACCCACTCTTTAAGCCTGAAGGGTGCAGACCCACCATTCATGTTGCCAGACCCACGTCTAGATTGCAGACCCACCATTCTAACTGCCAGACCCACTTCTAGATTGCAGACCCACCATTCTAGCTGCCAGACCCACTCTTCTCAAGTGCAAACCCACCACTCTGGTTGTCAGACCCACTCTTCAAGAATGCAAACCCACCATTCTGGTTGCAAGACCCACTTTTAGATCGCAGACCCACCATTCTTGCTGCCAGACCAACTCTTCTCAAGTGTAGACCCACAACCCTGGTTGTCAGACCCACTCTTCAAGGGTGCAGACCCACCACTCTGGTTGTCAGACCCACTCTTCAAGGGTGTACGTACACCCACCATTCTGGTTGCCGGACCCACTTCTAGATTGCAGACCCACCATTCCAGCTGCCAGACCCACTCTTCTCAAGTCCAGACCCACCACTCGGGTTGTCAGACCCACTCTTCAAGGGTGTACATACACCCACCATTCTGGTTGCCAGACCAACTTCTAGATTGCAGACCCACCATTCCAACTGCCAGACCCACTCTTCTCAAGTCCAGACCCACCACTCTGGTTGTCAGACCCACTCTTAAAGGGTGCAGACTCACCATTTAGCGGCCAGACCCACGCTTCTCAAGTGCAGACCCACCACTCTGGTTGCCGGACCCACTCTTCTAGAGTGAAGACTCATTATTCTCGAATGTAGATCCACAATTCTGTTGCTAGACCAACTTCTAGATTGCAGACCCACCATTCCAGCCGCCAGACCCACTCTTCTCAAGTGCAGACCCACCATTCTGGTTGTCAGACCCACTCTTCTAGAGTGAAGACTCATTATTCTCGAATGCAGATCCACAATTCTGGTTGCTAGACCAACTTCTAGATTGCAGACCCACCATTCCAGCCGCAAGAACCACTCTTCTCAAGTGCAGACCCACCATTCTGGTTGTCAGACCCACTCTTCAAGGGTGTAGACCCACAATTCTGGTTAACAGACCCACTTCTAGATTGCATACCCACCATTCTAGCTGCCAGACCCACTATTCTCAAGTGCACACCCACCACTCTGGTTGTCAGACCACTCTTAAAGGGTACAGACCCATCATTCTGGTTGCCAGACCCACTTCTAGATTGCAGACCCACCATTCTGGTTGCCAGACCCACTTCTAGATTGCAGACCCACCATTCTAGCGGCCAGACCCACTCTTCTCAAGTGCAGACCCACCACTCTAGGCAACAGGGGTGAATAATATCAACAAATAAAGATTGTTTAATTTTTGCAAAAAATTTCTCGTCATGTGACAACCCTTCCCAACCCCCCTCAACCCCCTACCCCTCCCCCCTAAAAAACTTATCGGATTTTTGCTTCCCGCGAACATGATTTTTTCTGAAAATTTTTGTCAAGCCAGATCTGTAAATCTATCAAATATGTAAAAAAAAAAACCTTAGGTTAAGGTTAAGACTATGTTCAATGGATAAAGAATTGTGCAGCAAATGTTTTGTGCATTGTACCAGGAAGATCAAAATAAAATGGGCTCACTTCAGCCCTACTTCACGAGACTGGTTAGTGTTATTAATACGTCCGCGAGGTGAAAAATTTAGCAAGAAAAAAAAAAACTTTTACTTTGAATTTTAAGTTCCTAAAATTGAAAACCTGTTTTTTATTGCCCAAGAGCAGGCAGAAGAGATGGAGCAACTATAAATTGTAGGTGGCCAAATGATAAGTTTATATAATCAGTGTCTGATTTTGTTGATTCTAAGGTTCCTGAACACACGTTAAAAATGTTTGATGAAGGGGGAGGATCCCATGCAAACACGGCTCATTGTGCATGTATCAGCAGTACGACAGCTACCTGTACTCATACGGCACTATCGTTGCAGCACACGTGATATCTCGAATTGGCGGGGTCTACCAAACCGCCAGTGGAACCGCCAGTGGAACCACCCTGTGAACTGGAATGGGGTGCGGGGGACAGACCGTTGGGACTCCTTGCTTCAAGGTCTGTCTCGCTTCGTGGATACACGGGCGTTTTCTCTTGCAGCACAAATTCACAAGTCTGCCAAGCACGCATTACTCACATGATACCATCACTTTTAAATATCTTTTCTTTTTTTAAACCAAATTAAATATAGAAGAGATAACAGTAGCGATGTGGTGTACATTATACAAGTTTGGAAAAATACCGGTCACATTTACTAGACATACATAAAAAAAAGGACATGTGCTTCACCCATTAAACACTAATTTGGAATATGAGTGCCTTACTTTTTAAAACATTCACCTCCTAAATAAGGTGAGTAAAGTTTTGCTATGCGCTTATTTTTGAACATGTGCCAGAGCTTATACGAGGGATGTGGCCAAGTCAATCATTTCTAAAACTATAATAAAACAAACCTCGATAGCACGACGATATTCGTCCCTGTGGATACACAGATACTGACACCGTACGTCACTGGGCAACACGGTGATATCAGGCACGTAGGGTCCTGACAAGGCTGGGATGCAGAAGGTGGAGAAGGGGCCCTGTACAAATATCATCTTCTCCCGTCCTACCTCTATCTTCAGCTCTCCCTGGCAACAACATACTGTTATCAAGTGTTCACTGTACTAAAGTAATCTGACAACAACACATCATTGTGTTGCGTGAATATTAGATGAACACAATTATAAATGACATCGAAACTTCTCGAATCATGAAACACACTTACTGTAAGAATCATTGCCATGAAGTTGACGGTTACTCCGGACTCAATAACAGGTTTACCGTCAGGTTTAACCTCCTTTATAACATCCTGTCTGAGTAGCCTGTTGAGAACACCAGGACTGATGTTTTCCTCTGAAAACTCTGGAACTTGTGTACTGAAAAGTGGGTTCATCGTTCACTACAGTGTTTTACAGAGAGAAGTGTCGTCAGATAAAATATGCCTCTGAGATAACTGAAAATCACAGGATATTCCATAATATCTAGGAGCATTTTAATTGCCTTTGAAGTGGTAACAAATCGTGTAATTAAACTCTAATCTCAGGGGCTAATTGTTTCTGATATCACCAAGTAGTCAAGTACATATTATAATGACAGTGATATTCAAGATGAAGTGTATAAATTAGGAGTATTTTTCCCGCGCTATATAGTACATCAGCTGTATACATTGTACCAGTTATTGCTGTCTACAGTAAACTATTGAAGGTATACTGAGGATATTTAAAATATTTATGTTAGACTTAAGAGAGCGCAAACATGTGATGTTTTTTAGAGTATATGGCTATATTTAGAGTATAATATGGCTATGCTCAAATACTGTAAAAGTTAATTTTAAAATAATTACATTTTCCAATATATGTATATCCCGACTAAACATCACAGTGGTACAATGTACATGTAAACTTGATCAGTATTCCTTTACATTGTAAAGCTTAAGTCTAAGGAATACACTAAAAGGCAGGAAATACCTGAGAAATGTGAAAGTAGCGAGCTCTAGTTGGGGTGAAATCTTCATTACATGCTGGTCTTTCTTCTTGTCTATTGGAAGGAGCGGGAAACACTTCTTCTCGTTCTTCTTCTTAAAGTCGTTGTTAACTGAGGTTGTTAACAGAGGTTCATTTAAATGAGACTCTGGAGACAATAATTGTGGGGCCGTATAAAGTAGAACATAACAAATTACAACGAAGAAGAAAGAAGAAAAACCACAATGGCTGTACCATAAGCATCAGTTTCATCTACAATCTCCTGCTGAATGATCTCCTCTATGATATCCTCTAACGTAACAACTCCAATAGGAACATAAACAGGATCTAGATCTTCCTGGGGGTGGTAATAGCTTATCTATCTTATTTATTTTAGATGGCTGAGTAGTACAATCGGATGCGAGCACACTTAACAATCGAAAATAAGGTACAATTGACTGAACAGTTTGCGTGATCTTTTCACTAAACGGGCACATTGTCACAATTAAACGACATTGCACATTTAATTTCACATTCAATGAGCATTTTGATATATTCAGCTGGGCTTTCTAAATTTAATTAATTATAATTTGGTGAGCTCTTTCCAATCTAGCATAATATAGTAGTTACTGTATGTAGTGTGTCAAATAAGTAGCGCACAGTAACCGTGTTACTAGTTACTAGTTAGTAATTAGTATATTATATTAGTACAGTTCAGCTGACAGATCTTCAACTAACAAGTATGAAGAACAAATTAAATAAATACAGATATTGTTAGCTTTACCATACTCAGTACGACAGCGCCCTACTACTGTAAACTGGGAACAGATATTGTTTAGCTTGTACCATACTCAGACGACAAGCGGCTCAACCTAAACTGGATACACATATTTTAGCTTGTACCATACTCAAGCGACAGTGCTCTACTCTAAAACTGGGATACAGATATTGTTAGCTTGTACCATACTCGGAAACGACAGCGCTCGTACTGCTAAACTTGGATTACAGATATTGTTTTAGCTTGTACCATACTCAGACGACAGCGCCTCTACTCTAAACTGTGATACAGATATTGTTAGCTTGTACATACTCTAGAACGAAAAAAAACAGCCCTCCTATCTCCTACACTGGGATACATATAATGTAACTTGTGCCATACTCAGACGACAGTGCTCTCTCTAAACTGGGATACAGATATTGTTATGCTTGTTACCATACTCAGACGACAGCGCTCTACTGTAAACTGAGTACAGATATTGTTAGGCTTGTAACCATACACAACCAGCGCGCTCTAAGCACTAAACTGGGGGATACAGATATTGTTAAGCTTGCTCCGTACCATACTCCAGACGACACGCACCTACAGTAAACTTGGATACAGATAAAGTTAGCTGTACCATACTAGACGACCGCGCTCTAAACTCTAAACTAGTGATACCGATATTGATAGCCTTGTACCATACCAGACGACAGCGCGCGTAAAGACTAAACTGGATACAGATATTGTTATGCTTGTACCATACTCAGACGACAGCGCTCTAACTAGTAAACTGTATACAGGTTTGTTAGCTTGTACCATACTCAACGACAGCGCTCACTGTAAACTGGGAATAACATAAATGTACTTTACCATACTCAGACGACAGCGCTCTACGCTAAACTGGATACAGATATTGTTAGCTGTGTACCATACTCAGACTACAGCGTCTCTACTCTAAACTGGGATACAGATATTTGTTTGCTTGTAACCATCCTCAGACGACAGCGCTCTACTCTAAAACTGGGAACAGATTAATGTTTAGCTTGTGCCATACTGCAAGACGACAGGCGTCCCTACTCTAAAACTGGGATACAGATATAGTTGTTTTAGCTTGTAAACCATAACTCAGACACAGCGCTCTACTCTAAACTGGGAAAGCAGATATTGTAAGCTTGTATACCATACTCCCACGACACGCTCTACTCTAAATAGGATACAGATATGGTTACTTGTAACCATATCAGCACTGACAGCGCTCCTACTCGTAAACTGATACAGATAATTTTCTTGTACCATACTCCAGACGACAGCGCACTACGTCTAATACTGGGATACAGATATTGCATTGTACCATAAGAAAAACCTCTCCCCGCCCAACCCCCCCAGACGACAGTGTTCGACCTAAACTGGGATACAGATATTGTTTGACTGTACCATACACAGACACACGCTCTGACTCTAACAGGATACAGATATTGTTTAGATTGTACCATACTCAACCGACAGACGCTCTACTCTAAACGGATACATATATTGAAAGCTGTACCATACTCAGACGACAGCGCTCTTCACTAAACTGGGATAACAGATATGGGTTAGCTTGTACCATACTCAGATCGACAGCGCTCTACTCTAAAGCGGGATAACAGATATTGTTAGCTTTACCAAACTCAGACGACCAGCGTTCTACTCTGAAACTGGGATACAGATATTGTTAGCCGTGTACCATAACTCAGCGACATGCCTAACGTCGTAAACTAGGATATCAGAGATTGTTAGCTTGTACCATACTCAGAACCACATCGTCTACACTAAACTGTGATACAGATATGTGTTCTTGTACCATACTTCAGACGGACAGAGCGCCTCTACTCAAAACTGGATACAGATATTGTTATCTTGTACGATATCATTACGACAGAAGGCCTAACTCTAAAATGTATACAATATTGTTAGCTTGTACCCATACTCAGAAGACAGTGCTCACTCTACACTGTATCTACAGATATTGTTATCTTGTAGCAAAGTACCAAACTCAGAACGACAGCGCCTCTACTCTTAAACTGGATACAGAAATTGTTAGCTTTTACCCAAACTCAGACGACAGTGTCTACTCTAAACTGGGATACAGATATTGTTAGCTTGTACCATACTCAGCCGACAGCGCTCTACTCTAACTGGGATACAGATATTGTTAGCTTGTACCATACTCAACGACAGTGCTCTTCTCTAAACTGGGATAACAGAATTTTACTTGTACCATACTCAGACACAGCGCTCTACGCTAAACTGGGATACAATATTGTTAGCTTGTACCATACTCAGAGACGAACAGCTCACTACGTCTAAACTGGATACAGAAATTGTAGCTTTACCATACTCATAACGACAGTGCACTACTCTAAACTGGATACAGAAATTGTTAGCTTGTAGCCATACTCAGACCGACAGCGCTCAACTCTAAAACTGGGATACAGATATTTGTTAGCTTGTACCATACTCAACGACAATGAACTACTCTAACACTGGGGATACAGATATTGGTTCAGCATTACCATACGTCATGACGACAAGCGCTCTAATCTGTAAACTGGATACAGATATTGTATTAGCCTGTACCATACTCAGAAGACAAGCGCTCTACTCTAAACTAGGATACAGATATTGTAGCTTGTACCATACTCAGACTACAGCGCTCATACTCCTAAACTGGATACAGAAAATGTAAGCTTGTACCATACTCATACGACAGCGCTCAACCGTAAAACTGGGTATACCAAGATATTTTTAAGCTTACCATACTCATACGACAGCGACTCTAACTCAACTGGGATAAACAGATGTGTTAGCTTGTCCAATACTGCAGACGACAGTGCTCTACTCTAAATCAGGGATACAGATATTGATAGCTTGTACCACATACTCATACACACGCTCTACTCTAAACTGGAATAACAGATATTTGTGATCCTTACCATTACTCAGGACTACAGTGCTCTACTCTAAACTGGGATACAGATTTTTTGTAGCTGTACCATACTCAACGACAGTGCTCTACTCTAAACTGGGATACAGATATTGTTTAGCTTGTACATACACAGACGACGAGTGCTCTACTCTACAACTGGGATAGTCAGTATATTGTATAGCTTGTACGTCATACTCAGCATACGAGTGTTTCTACTCTAAACTGGGATACAGATAATGTGTAGCTTGAACAAACTCAGACACAAGCCGCTTCTACTCTAGACTGGGATACAGATATATGAGCTTATGGAACCATACTCAGACGACAGTGCTCTACTCTAAACTGGGATACAGATATTGAGAGCTTGTACCATACACAGTACGACAGCGCTCGACACTAAACGGGGATAAACAGATATTGTTAGCTTGGTAGCCTTACTCAGAACGACAGCGCATCTAACCAAAACTGGATCAATATTGTTTAGCTTGTGCCATACTCAGACGACAGCGCACTACTCTAAAGCTGGATACAGATATTGTTGCTTTACCATACTCAGACGAACCAGCGCTCTAACTGTATAGACTGGGATACCGATAATGTAACATGTACCATCTCAGACGACAACGCTCTACTCCTAAACTGGATACAGATATTGTTAGCTTGTACCATACACAACTACAGCGCTCTAACTCTAAACTGGATACTGATATTGTTAGCTGTACCCATACTCCGAAGACAGCGCGACTCACTCTAAACTGGGATACAGATATTGGTAGCTTTGTACCATACTCAGACGACGTGCTCTACACTGAAACTGGGATACAATAAGGTTTTTTTGTTTTAGCAATGTCTCAGACCCCATAGCAATCCTGTGAATTAAGGCAGACGCCACACGAACAGGCGCCCAAAATTTGCGTAATTAAATTTATAGAATCAATATAATTGATACATTATGAGCCCAATCCCGATACCCACTTTTGCCTCCCAATTATATATATCATCTCGTAACTTCATAATGAAGGGTTCCGTAAATTCATTTTAAAGATTAAGTATATATCGATTCTCGGCACCGTAGCCCGACACCACACTAGCCGTGTCGAAGCTTCTTTCTTTGGTTGGCTAGGAGGGGGGAAGGCCAGCCCCCAGAACTTATTTGAGAAATTTTAGATGTGTTATCGACTCTTTTGGCTTAAAGAAATTTTTAGGACAGTCAATACTCAGACAACACAAATAATACAAAGTTGGGTGGCAAGGGGGGCGTGGCAGCCCAGGCCGAATCGAAAATTTTGAGAAATCGGGTGTTCCAGACGACATTTTAGGACAAGCAAGAAATCAGACATTACAAAAATACAAGGTTCGGTGGCTTGGGGGGGGGGGGGCGCAACCCCCGAAAATTTTGAGAATTAGGTGATTCGACGACTTTTGGCATTAAGAAATTTGTAGAGAGCATAATCATACATCAGAAAAATAAAAAATATTTGTGGGCTAGGGAGCGTAATCCCCCAGGGAGAACTTTTAGAAATAGGTGATTTAAAACGGCAATTTGGCATTAAGAAATTTGGAAAGTAATAATCAGACATCAACAATAATATAAAGTTGGGGGTCCGGGGGGGTGGGGGGGGGCGCGCAGCCCCCCAAAATGTTTTGAGAAATAATAATTGTTTTTAAAAGGATACGAACAATTGGCATTAAAGAAATTTTGTTGGACAGGTAATAATCAGAACATCACAATAATCTAATAATACAAATTGGGAGGCTAGGAGGGGGGGAAAGGGGGGCGCACCCCCCGGAAAATTTAGAAACATAGGTGTATTCCGACAGCATTACGGCATATAAAGAAATTAGTAGGGCATTAATAATCTGATAACAATCACAAGAATATAAAGTTATTGGCTAGGGAGGTGGGGGTGGCGCAGCCAATCAGAAAATTTATGTTGAGAAATTATGTTTTTTTACGGGAACGACATTTGACATAAAGAAAATTTGTAGGAACAGTATTTATAATCAACAACACAATAATAAGTCGGAGGGCTAGGCAGGCGCAGCCCTGCCTTCGGAAACTTTTTCGAGAAAAAGGGTTTTCCAGACGACATTTGTTGGACAGCAAATCAGACAAACAAAAGTACAAGGGTAGAGGGCGGGGGGTGGGCGCAGTACTAATCATACATCACAATAAAATATAATTTGGGGACTTTGGTGGGGGGCGCAGCCCCCACGAAAATAGTTAGAAATTATTGTTTAGACGACATTAAGGCATAATGAATTTGTAAGGACGGCGATAATACTAAGTTGGGGGTGCAAGACCCCGGAAAATTTTTGAGGGAATATGGTGTTCCAGACGACATTTGGTTGAGACAGCAATAATCAGACATTACAATCATACAGAATTGGTGGGGCTGGGGGGGGGGCGCCGTAGATAATCAACAGTCACAATAATATAAAGTTGGGACTGGGGGGGTGGGGGGCGCAGCCCCCAAGAAAATAATTAGAAAATATTTTGTTTTAGAGCGACATTAGCATAAGAAAATTTGTAGGACGGCGATAATACAAAGTTGGGGGTGCAGCCCCCGGAAAATTATTGCGAAAATAGGAGTTTTTCAGTCAAGAGCGACAAATGGCATTAGAAATTTGTAATTTCAGACATCACAATAATACAAAGTTGGGGTCTAGGTGGAACTCAGTACTTTCACATTGAATAAGTACATATTGTATATGGATTAGAATAGATTTACGAAAATGCTAAAGTCGATGCCTGTCGTGTTCGATTTAAATCAAACAGTCATAAACACAGCCCACTACGAGGCGACCACTGCATGGTTGACTAGGGGCTTAATTATTTTTTTTTGAGGGGTTCAATTTTTTTTCCGGGGTCTATCCCCTTGACGACGTGTCTGCATCTAGTTGCCAGACGCACACAATTATAGTGCAGACTCAACATGTTTGGTGCCAACCCCCCTATCTAGATCCAGACCCACAATTCTGTTGTCATATCTCCTAAATACAAGTTCAGAGACCCCAATTCTGGTTGACAGAGGAAGAATTACCATTCTGGTTGCCATATTCACTCTTCTAGAGAGGAGACCCACCTTCCAAGTAGTACAGAGTCAAGACCCCACTATTCTCAAATGCAGACCGCCACCTTTCTGGTTGCCAGCCCTCTCTTCTGAGGCTATGACCTACCTTCTGGTTGCCAGCCCCACTCTTCTAGAGTGTAGACGCACCATTCCGAGATTGGCCTAGACCCACTATTTCTGAGTGAAACACACCACCTGTTCGGGGTTGCCAGGACCCACTATGCTAGAACTCTAGACTCCAGAAGCACAATCCTGGTTGCCATAATATCCTAATTCTATGTAGACCCCCAATTCTGGTTGACACTTGACAGAGAGTAGACATACCAATCTGTTGCCAGACCCACTCTTCTAGAGTGAAGACCCACTTTCCTAGAATTCGTTACCGCACCCTTCTTGTTGCCGTTAGACCCACCTCACAGCTGAGAGAGTAAACCCACTATCATGAAATTCTGACCCACCTTCTTTGTTTCCAGAACCCTCTAGCCTAGGTGCAACGCCTCCATTCTGATTGGCCATAACTCCCTCATCTTGATTCCCTGATTGCCGACCCACTCTTCTGGTTGCCAGACCCATCTTAGTAGAGTGCAGACACAACCAATCTAGTTGCCAGAACCCCACCTCTTCTTTCTAAAGTGTAGACCCACCTATTATTCAAGAGTGAGGACCACCCTCGGGTTGTCAGACTCACTCTTCAAGGGTGTACGTACACCCACCATTCTGGTTGCCAGCCGCAACTCTAGATTGCAGACCCACCATTCGCAGCATGCCAGAACCCTCTCCTTCTCAAGTCCAGACCCACTACTCTGTTGACAGACCCATTCTTCAAGGGTGTACGTACATCCCACCATTTCCGGTTGCCAGACCAACTTCTAGATTGCAGACCCACCCATACCACTGCCAAGAACCACCACTCGTGGTGTGTCAGGCCACACTTCAAGGGTGTACGTACACCGCACCGATTCTGGTTGCCAACCATCTTCTAGATTGCAAGACACCACCATTCCAGCTGCCAGACCCACTCATCTCAATCAATATCACCACTCTGGTTGTCAGACCCACTCTTTAAGGTGCAGACTGCAGACGACCGTTTCTGGTGCCAGACCCTTATAGATTGTCAGAACCCAACATTCTATGCTGCCAGACCCACACTTCTCAAGTGCAGACCCACCACTCTGGTTGTCAACCCACTCTTGATCTTAAGCCTGAAGGGTCCGACCACCAATCAGTTTGTTAGACCAACTTCTAGATTCAGACCCACCATCCAGCCCAGACCCACACATCTCAAGTGCAGAACTACCACTCTGTTGTCAGACCCACTCTTTAAGCCTGAAGGTGCAGACCCACCATTCATGTTGCCAGAAACCACGTCTAGATTGCAGACCCACATTCTAACTCCGAGAACCCACTCTAGATTTGCAGACCCAACATTACGTAGCTGCCATACCCACTCTTCTCAATGCAGACCCACCACACTGGTTTGTCAAGCCCTCACTATCTCAAGGGTGCAGACACACCACTCTGGTTGTCAGACCCACACTATCGAAGGTTGTACGTACACCCACCATTTCTGGTTGCCGGACCCACGTTCCACGATTTGCAGACGCCAACCATTCCAGCGCCAGACCCACTCCTTCACAAGTTCAAGAGACCACCACTCGGTTGTCAGACCACTCTCAAGGGTGTACGTACACCCACTATTCTGGTTGCCGACCACTTATAGGATTGCAATTCCCAACCTTCCAGCGTCCAGTTGAGTGCCAGGATGCACTCTCTCCAAAGTCCAAACCCTCCAATCTGTTTGTTCAGGACCCACTCTTAAAGGGTGCCATACCTCACCATTTAGCGGCCAGAACCCACGCTTCTCAAGTGGAGACCCACCACTCTGGTGCCGAACCCACTCTTCTAGAGTGAAGAACTCATTATTCTCGAATGCTAGATCCCCAATTCTGTTGCTAGACCAAACTTCTAGGATTGCAGAACCTCCACCATTCCATCCGCCGATAGACCCCCTCTTGCTCAGTGCAGACGTACCCACATTCTGTTTGTCAACCCACTCTTCTAGAGTGAAGACTCATTATTCTCGAATGCAGATCCACAATTCTGGTTGCTAGACCAACTCTAGAGTTGCGAGGACCCACCATTCCAGCCGCAAGAAGCCTCTCTTCACAAGTGCAGACCCCACCATTCCTGGTTGTCAGACCCACTCTTCAAGGTGTAGACCCCAACAATACTGGTTAACATACCCACTTCTAGTTGCATACCCACCATTCAAGCTGCCAGACCCACATGCACAAGTGCACACCCACCACGTCTGGTTGTCCAGACCCACTCTTTAAAAAGGGTACAGACCCAATCATTTCTGGTTGCCAGAGAACCCACTTCTCTAGATTGGCAGACCCACCATTCAAGCTGGCCAGAACCCACTCTTCTCTAAGTGCAAACCCCCACTCTAGGCAACAGGGTAGAATAATATCACAACAAATGGGTCACGATATCCGCTCCGACTCACGGGTGTGGCCAGGTTGGCACTACGGTGGTGTGCTCTCTTGGTTGAGTACAAAGGTTTGGACTTGCCAACTCAAAGTTCCATCGGAACCAGAGTAACACTAAACACATACCCAGCACAGGGAAATTATCTCTTTCAGATATCCAGGAATTGCAAGATAGTCCACACAACACCAGTACGATACATAGTGACAATCCAGTGATAGTTAGTAGCTCTAAGAGCTACTAAATCACCAGGAACATCCGACTTTCGCTCCGTTTCCAGGTCCCAACGAAGTCAACCCACCACTGTAGCAAGTGAATCTCAATACGCACCTCCTTACTACAAGGACACACTGATATTGAAGTATCCTGGCACTTCTCCCTCACATAACCACATATCATGTCATTTATCAGTAAAAAACAGCTAATGCGTACGGCAGCCACATGGCGCTAACACAGGCTCATGGAAAAACAGAAATAGGGAATAAAACTCTGACAACGGAGGACCCACTGATAGCGAGAAATTCCTGACACTGTCTTCCTCCAGGATAACCACTTTTCATGGACCGTGTAAGCTGTTGCCACACACTTCATTGAAGTTTGACTGGACGCCACTACAAATCATCAGTAGCAGCATAGTTTGAACTGACATCCCTTACGGTTCTATTCAGTTTCCACCGCGTAAGATCTCAACACACGAAAACATTCATCTCGGACATCCAGCAGAGCTGCTTTTTCACAGAAAGCTCCCCAATACACGGGGAACCCTTAGACTACATACCCTGGTGCGAGCATAGCTCACAAAAGCATAGAGGACCTCTTAGTTCTGAGACGCAAGCTAACCGGAACATGAATAAACATCAATGCACTGCATAGGGGATGCAAAATAGAACATACCATGTTTATTCGAATGCATACTCAATCTTTTGATTCATTTTTTTAGCTCGACGTACATGGTAACATTTCAGACTGAACATTCTCCTTCAGGTAATTTGAGGAAACAAACCGCTATTTGCGTTAAACCATGCAATATCAGGACTTATGATAACTTAGGATCTCCATCAATCATAAATTCCTCTCACGGATTCCCAGGCTGCATTTAAAGCGTCTTATACAACGCAAGCACCATCCACCTCCAGGTTTCGTTCTAGAAACATCTCAGACAACTCACTAGGTATTCACATCGAGTAGGACTTCGATTCCAGACATTAAGAGTATAACGGTAAAGAACTAAGTCGGAAGAATTCGCAAGGGAACGAAAACATTCCAACCAGCATCCCCATAACCCAGAACCTTCCTCCAAATAGCCACACTCAGTAACAAAGGAACATTCCCACTTTTGATGTTTCCTCCACAAATTAAGATACAGGAACTTTTATTTTTCTGGAACTTCACAACAGATGGCTAACATGTCGCTTTCAGAATATGTCACAGCCCACTAGTTTCTATTCAGAACGTGGCAAACAACGTCAACTTCAAGACGGCAAGATGTGCGAAACACCTTTTCAGAGAAGCACAACATCCGCAGCATCCTCCACTACAAGAGCATCCAGATCATGACGTTCAGAATGAAATAATTGGTAAACTCTACCTTAACACCAGTAAACTACATCCATAACTTCAAATATGTGGAACATTCCGACAAGACTGGATAGGGAAAACTCTTTTGGGTTAACCACCTTGGATTCTTCACCAGGAACTTGTCGCTAAACCCCATACAAGAACTCAACCTAGGCGCATCTCCACGCATAGAGACAGAATCTCCCAGGCTTTGACCTTGCCTCGAAGACCCTGTCTACCCGCCAGAAGTACTACAACGGAAGTGGTTTGCTCAGAGACAGGAAGATGACAACAGCTTCAAGACTCCAAGGGGTTCTGTTGCATTGAGATTAATAATTTATGATTTCGTATATACATGGGAGACCTGGGCGTGCACTAGCAGGAGTGCATTCTGTGAGGCTCGTTGAAAAGGCCTCCAGCTTAAACGTAAGAGGACAAACCTGTTTGACCACAACAGAGAGAGAGATAATAACAACAAATAAAGATTTTAATTTTTGCAAAAAATTTCTCGTAACATGTGCCAGACCCTCCCATCCCCCACTCAACCCCCTACCCCTCCCCCCCTAAAAAACTCATCGGAATATTTTCTTCCCGCGAACCATATTTTTCTGAAATTTTTGTCAAGCCAGATCTGTAAAATCTATCAATATGAAAAAAAAAAGACCTTATGATACAGATATTGTTAGCCTTGTACCATACTCAGACGGTAACAAGTCGCACTACTCTAAACGTATAACAGAGTAATGTTAGCTTGTACCAACTCAGACAACAAGCGCTCTACTCTAAACTTGGGATACAGATATTGTTAGCTTGGACCATACTCAACGACAGTGCGCATCTCTAAACTGGGATACAGATATGTTGCTTGTACCATACTCAGACGACGAGCGCTCTACTCTAAACTGGGATCTACAGATATTGATAGCTTGTGACTCATAGTCAAGCGACAGCGCTCGACTCGTAAACTGATACAGATGATTGTTATCTGTACCATACTCAACACACGCCTACTCTAAACTAGGTACAGATATTGATAGCTTGACCATACTCAGAACGACAGCGCGTTCTACTCTAACCTGGGATACAGATATTGTTAGCTAGTACCAAACACAGACGACATCGCTCTTACTCTAAACAGGATACAATATTGATATCTTGTACCATACTCAACTACAGCGCCTACTGTAAACGGTGATAACAGATATTGTTTAGCTTGTACCATACTCAGACGACAGCGCTCTACTCTAAAACTGTGATACATATATTTTAGCTTGTAGCCATACTCAGACTACAGAGCTCTACTCTAAACTTGGGATACAGATATTGTTAGCTTGTACCCAATACCTCAGAACGACAGCGCTTTACTCTAAACTGGGAATACAGATATTGTTAGCTAGTGACCATACACATACGACAGCGCACTACTCTAAACTGGTATAGCAGATAATGTTAGCTTGTACCATACTCAGACGACAGCGCTCTACACTAAACGGGGAACAGAATTGTTAGCTTGTGGCCATACTCAGCGACGAGTGCACATCTCTAAACTGGGATACAGATATTGTTAGCTTGTAACCATACTCAGACGACAGCGCTCCTACTGTAAACTGGATACAGAATGTGTTAGTCTGTACAACTCAGACGACAGCGCTCTACTCTAAACTGGGAGAACACAAATTGTTAGATTGTACCATACTCAGCCGACAAGCGCTCTAATACTCTAAACTGGGATACAGCCAATTGTTAGCTTGTACCATACTCAGACACAGCGCACTACTCAACTAGGATTACACATATTGTTACTTGTAACCATACTCAGACGACAGTGCACTACTCAAAACTGGGATACAGATATTGTTTACTTGTACCGATACACAGAACGACAGCCGCTCACTAACTCAAAACTGGTATACACATATTGTTTAGCTTGTACCATACTCATAACGACAGTGATCAACTCTAAACAGGGATAACAGATATTGTTAGCTTACCAATACTCAGACGACAGCGCCTACTGTAAACGGGGATACCGAATATTGTTTGCTGTGTAACATACCTCAGACGACAGCGCTCTACTCTAAACTAGAAACAGATATTGTAAGCTTGTACCATACTCAGAAACGACAGCGCTCAACTCTAAACTGGAAACAGATAATGTTACTTGTACCATAGCTCAGACGACAGCGTGCTCTAACTGTAACAGGGATACAGATATTGTTGAGCTATGTAACCATACACAGATCACAGCGCGCTAATCAGACTGGGATAACAGATATAGTGTAGCTGTACCATACCAACACAGTG